GTCGAAACTGGGCTAACATCAGAATTCATGGAAGTTCGAGTTCGAACTTTGCAAGGCTGTTTATTTTTGCTGCAGGCTATCAGTTATGAGGATCTGAAGTCGGTATTTTTGCTTCTGGAGTCATTTCTACTGGAAAATCTGCAAGCAAGGTTAGTTGATTTAAAAAACCGGTTAAATATAAAGCATTAAATTACAGGTCTTTTTCAGTATGTATTTTAACTGATGGGCGTAGTGTGATTGTAACTAATGGTACCAGGTGAACAGTTGAAGCAAATCCGTCGTTTAGGGAAAACCGCCTTCTGCACGGATCTGTGGATTCGTTGCGGTAGCTTGCTTGATAAGTTTTTTACTCTGACTGCCTTCAGTTTGCTTTTATAGAAACTTTCGGCAAGGATAACTACCGACAGTTTTGGCAGTAGATTGTCGCTTTTGCCAGAGTGTTATCTCCTGAGCTTCGAAATAGTATGGGGTTACCGAACTTGTGTTATTCTGGGCGTTTTTTTTCTCATGGATATGAAATACTTTTTGTTCTATTTTAGCAGTGCAGCCTCACATGAATACGAAACGATGTGCTGGACAGTTGGGTTTTTCTTTTTCGACAATGCTTCGTATTCATCCGAAAATTCCCGAGGCCTGTTCATTAATGTGAGTCTTGCTGCCTGACACTAAAGCACAATCGTTTGCTTCGATATGCAAACTTTCCCGGCAGATATTGTAACAGAGGGCGTGCGAAAGCAGCACCAAGATGAATAAACGGAGACGTGAAATGCGGAAGAATGTAACTGCGCATGTTGTGGACATGATCTATGGTTACTTGAAACAAGTTGCGTAGCACAGGAAAGTTAACTTAGCAGTGCTCAGTGTATAGTTGCTTTCTTATTAATAACATTCAGAGCTCTAAACCGGTAAGCCGAAAAGCCTTCCTGGTACTTTTGTAGTCTTGAAAAGTGTGTCTTTTTTTTTTACCAAGTTAAACGACTTGAATTGGAACTCGATGAAAATTGGAATTTGGTGTTGGTACATTAAATTGCTGCTAAAAACACACTTTCAAGCGGGGATAATATTCCCTGCTCTGGTTGTGGAGGAGAAAATATATTTTGAGAATTACTGCAGAAATTCGCAAATTGATCCAAAATTAATTTTTTACTGAGTCAAAATTCGTTTATATTTCGCTTCGTGTGAAGCAGAGGCGCTTGAAAATAGCGGAAATAGCAGCTTTTGGCTAACTGGCCTTCATAACAGGCCAGAACCGTAGCATTTCACTGGAAATGCACTGCGGCTTCCCCATGCTTGCCACAGCTTCATAGCTCTTTAGATCTCTGCTTCTGAATATATTAACATGTTTCTTTTTTCAGACAGTGTGTGAAAATTTTGTTGCCTATACCGCTACGGAACGGTTGATGAATTTTCTAACAGCAGGCATTGAGAGGCTGATTGTTGGCTCTCGAATATATGTTCTCACCTTCAGTCGTATTGCCGTTCGTACGTTTTTATTTCGCTTTTTTTTTCTAAATCAACGTTTTATTTTACTGAAGTTGGGTGGCCTACACGCATTTGATCAGTGAAAGGAACAAAAAGCTCGACGTAAGAACAAAAAAGAGCAGATATACCCGAGAAACGCTCACAAAAAACATTTGGGAGCGTTTCTCAGCTTAAAATAGATGAATCCGTCTGTGCATTTTTTCATGAAATCAATAAAACCTGATAATTTTTTAAGCGCCCTTTCTTTCATTCTTCTGTGCATTAGCTTTTTCAGAATTGCTGGAAAATTATTTCAATGTACCGCAAAAATTCATCTATGCGCTTCGTGTTTTCATTGCATGTCTGTATAGAGGCTTAGAGGAGGGGCGAGCACGCCGTTTGGGGACTCAATCGTACGATCCACGTATTCATCTGATGGAGCAGCATGCAACGATTTTTAAAATGTTAGTATCATGCTTGTAAATTATTTTACATTCCGCAAAGCCAGCAAGGAGAGACATGCTGATGGTAATTGACAATTTGCTATGGTGAAATAACTAGTCGTCTTCAGAGGGATATTCTAGAAATCAAATTTTGAAAAACTAATATTTAAAGTGCGATAAAAGCCAAATTTTTTTCGTTTGCGAAAAAAAGACGACGACCATGGAGGGGTGACAAGCATATGCAGTAGAGTGGACGACGCAGTTTTGTGGGGCATGCAGTGGCAGAGTTACCACTGACGTGTTTGCGCATCTCTGTAACATCATAGCTTCCCACTAACAGTCTATACGATTTTGATGGCCGTAGTGTTTGTAGTGCTTTCTAACCAGCATTTCAAAACACAAATCATAAGCTCTTCAAAATACAGAATATTTCACGAAAATAGAAATGATAGCGTTGATCACTTGTTTGTTGGGAACCTGACTTCTCTGTTGTATTCGCTTGCCTTATCGGTGAAAAAAAATTTGATTTTCTCAGGCTTTATGGATCTCTGTAACTATGTTCACGAATTTGTATTTACGAATATGTATAATATATAAATGTATATATACACATATATATGTGCAGACATGTGTAGATATACCAGTACAAACTTCTTGGAATATAAAATCTTGACTTTTGTGTGAATTTTTACATATTAATTGTAGATTCCTTTTATGTTCTCCGTGTCCAGGTTTATAGCCTTTTAAAAATTAGGTCTAAACGCTGCATTTTCTCTTTCTGATAGGCTGTATCTTGTAGAAGTAGTCTGCTAGAAGTCACTCCGTCCCACATTTGGTTCTGTGCAAAAAGCAGAATTGCTTAGAAATAACGTGAATGGTAGCATTTTACCAACACCAGTTGTCCGTTGGCAAGACTGCCAATGACCTCCTCTTTCGAGGGTTGCTTAGGAGCAACTTAAAAGCACTGATTTGAAATATCTGGTTGTGTAACGAAAGAATCCTGATGTACTTGCGTTCATGCGGAAGATTGATTGTTTTTGGTGTTTTTGTTTCATCAGACAATTTTTTACGCAAATCTTCCGTCGACTTTGTTTGATTCTTTTTAAGATTGGCGGAGGGAGCTGAACAAGATGCAGTGAGACTGATGAAAGTTCTGCCGTATCTGCTGATTGATTCGTTGAATCAAAGCGAACTAATTAACAGCATTCTGAAAGAGCTCATTCATCGTTATACGGACCGACCGCATCCTCGATCTGCTGCTATTTTTACAATTATTCATCATGTGAGTTGTTCAATCCGTTGTACTGTTACGCTGATTTTATGTAGAGTTTTCCTAGGATGATTTTTTTTTTTTGATTTTTTATGCGTTTTTTACGTTTATGCAATGCAGAAAACGCATATTGACGAGGGATTGTCTGTGTGTGTCTGTTTGTTCGTCAGTACCGATTTTTCATCTCGAGACTTACAAAAGCTACAGGACTGAAACTTCGGGACTTTAATCTACATGCACATGCGAGTCCCATCCCCAGAATAGATGCTGCTACCCACGTGGATCCAATGTACGGGCCCGCCAAAATTTTTAGCGGGTTAGCTGCTAACTGAGGAACCAGAAAAGATAGAAAGCTGAAACTTTTAAAGGATGTCCCCCATCCACGTAGGTCTTAATGAGTTCAAACCCAGTCTCCAGGTATGCGTGGTCCCCACGTACGAGTTTTTTGGGAATAACTTGCTAGTTCGGGAACCAGAGAAGCTAGAAAGCTGGAATTTTAAGGGTATGTTCCCTGACGATCTTGGTAGCCAGTTTCAGTTCTTTTAGCTAAAGCATCTGCGGTAAAAACCAGTGCCTTCAGCGACAAATACCTACGGAGAACTGTGAAAAAACGCATCTTTGCGCCGGCAGTCGGTGCGTTGGCCAATTATTATGCGTTTGTGCTGTGTAACAGCAGTACAAAACGCATATTGTCACGGGGTTGTCTGTGTGTGTTTGTGTGT